GAGGCTGCCAGTTTTCACTGCTTACGGGGCAGAGTTGAGGAGCCAGTGGTTTGGGGTACAGAGAGAAGAGGTGATTGGCATCAACTGAAACACCACAGATTGGGCTGTTCTCACTGAGGTTCACCGGTTCTTCTTGAATAAATGCTTCTTTTTAAATTTTTAAAAAATGTTTAAGAGAGAGAGAGAGAGAACCCCAAGCAGGCTCCACACTGTCAGCATGGAGCCTGACGCGGGCCCCGAACTCACCAACTGTGAGATCGTGATCTGAGCGAAATCAAGAGTCAGACGCTCACCTGACTGCGCCACCCAGTGGCCCCGAATAAACGCTTCTTAATTTGTTGTATGCCTTTGGTTAATTTCCTAACTCCTCAAAGGATAGATTTTGATAATTTTGCCAGTATTTTCGTTGCTTTCATGGGGGGAAAAGATTTACTGAGATCCTCACTCCCCCTTTCCAGAAGTCTTGCCTTAGTGCATTTCTCTTAAAACTGAAGAGAAGTACAGAAAATCATCATTGTAACATACCTTTGTGCTTACCTCCCAGAATTAGCAAATGTCAGTATTTTGATACTTGGTGGTGGTGGGTTTTTTTTTTTTAATAAAAGAAATAGAGCTTTACAAATAAAGGTGTCCTTTTCCTGTCCCGAGTCCCGCTCCTCTTGTTCACTCCCCGGGCAAACAGTACCATGAATTTGGTGAGTACCCTTCTCATTCATGTTTTTATACTTGGACTACACCTATTTGCATCTCTAATCTGTATGGTGTTCCTTTTGTAAGTCTACCAGCTTAGTGCACTTGAACTTTAGGGTTCTTTCCAAAACTTTCTTTCTGTATTCAGCGTTGCCCTTTGAGCTGGTGCATTACATTTAGTTCATTCATTTTCTTTTTTTTTTTTTTTTAAATTTTTTTTTTCAACGTTTATTTATTTTTGCGACAGAGAGAGACAGAGCATGAACGGGGGAGGGGCAGAGAGAGAGGGAGACACAGAATCGGAAACAGGCTCCAGGCTCTGAGCCATCAGCCCAGAGCCCGACGCGGGGCTCGAACTCCCGGACCGCGAGATCGTGACCTGGCTGAAGTCGGACGCTTAACCGACTGCGCCACCCAGGCGCCCCTAGTTCATTCATTTTCAATGCTGGTATAGCATTCCAGCGTTGGAGTATTGCAGTCCATCAACCCATACCTCTGTTACTGGGAATTTATTTCCTGTATTTGTTGCCATTCTTGTACATGTGTCCTGGCTCACACTTGTAGGATTTTCTCTGTGTTATAGCCACAAATGGAATACACACTAGGGTACGTACATTGTCAACATTGGATATTATTTACCTTTTTTCTCCCATAAATAGAATCAGTTTCCTTTGTATATTTAAGAGTTTTGCACGTAGGGGCACCTGGGTGGCTCAGTGGGTTAAGTGTCTCACTTTGGCTCAGGTCATGATCTCACAGTTCATGAGGTCCAGCCCCACATCGGGCTCTGTGCTGACGGCACAGAGCCTGCTTGGGATATTCTCTCTCTCTCTCTCTCCCCCCCCCCCCTTGCTGTAGTGTGCCCTCGCTCTCTCTCTCAGAATAAATAAACTTGAAAAAAAGAGTTTTTTGTCTATTTGGAGCACCCGTCTGGCCCAGTTGGTGGAGCATTTGACCTTTAATCTCAGGGTTGTAGATTTGAGCCCCATGTTGGGTTTAGAGATTACTTACAAATAAAATCTTTCTAAAAAAAAAAAAAGAGTCTTGCGTCTATTGTTTTTTAATTTAAAAAAAATTTAATGTTTTTTTTAATTTATTTTTGAGAGTGAGAAGGGGGAGCAGGGCAGAAAGAGAGGGAGACACAGAATCATAAAGCAGGCTCCATCCAGGCTCTGAGCTGTCAGCACAGAGCCCGACGCAGGGCTCGATCTCACGAACCACAAGATCACGACCCGAGCCGAAGTCCGATGCTCAACCGACTGAGTCACCCAGGCGCCCCGAGTCTTGAATCTATTTAAATGAAAGTGCTTTAGAATATTCTCATATTCTGTCCTTATTTTCTTTTGGCATCAAGGTCATTTTATGTTTTATAGGACATAAAGCATTGTTTTACCAGCTATTTTTTTGGTTATTCAGTACCAGGTACATGTCTTTCCATAATTTTATTTCCAAAGTTCCTCTCTCATTTTGCTCTAATTGTCTTTTGCAAATATAAAGGTGATTTTCATTTTTATTTTGAGAGAGAGTTGAGTGGGGGAGGGGCAGAGAGAGAGGGCAGGAGGGAGAATCCCCAGCAGGCTTTGCACTGTCAGCTCCCGGCCCGACTCAGGGCTCAAACTCATGAACCACGGGATCGTGACCTGAGTGGAAATCTGGAGTCAGATGCTTAACTGACTGAGCCACCCAGGCGCCCCCATAAAGCTGATTTTTAAAAATAAAATTTAATATGGTTGACCTTTAACAAATGGGGTTAATATAAATGTATTGTGCTATTACTATGATAGTATTTCTGCTTTTATTGTACTTTGTATATATCCTGCTTTTTTTTTTTTTTTTTACCTTTTTTTTCCCTGCCTTTACTACATTTTTTTTTTTTTTACCCCCACCCCCTTTGGTATTTTCCTCCTGAAAAATTCAAGCACCAAGCATTATTCTCTGCCAGGCTTTTTTGTGGCAAATTCCATGCCTTTTCTTGTCTAAAAACATCTTCATTTTGTCATTTTTCTTTGTGATAATTTATCTGGGGATAGAGTTCTAAGATGACGTCAGGCTTCTCTCAGGACTTTGAGTATATTCTTTAATCTTCTGGCTTCTTTTATTGCTGATCAAGTCTGGGGTTGCTCTAATTGTTTCTTTTTTCTTCTTAAAGTTTATTTACTTATTTTGAGACACAGCAGGGGAGGGACAGAGAGAGAGGGAGACACAGAATCCCAAGCAGGCTCCAGGCGCCGAGCCGTCAGCGTAGAGCCCGATGCGAGGCCCGAACCCACAAACCGTGAGATCATGACCTAAGCTGAAGTCGGACGCTTAACCGACTGAGCCCCCCAGGCGCCCCTCTGATTGTTTCTTTATAGGTGACTTTAAAAATTTCTCCATGGTAGCTTTCACTACTTTCTGACTCTCAAGTCTTGCGGTGGCACTAAACTGTGTCCAGGTACTGATCTGCTTTTGTTTACCACACTCAGGACTCTGGACATTCAGTGGTAGGATGCATGCCTTTCTTCCCTTCTAGAAAACTACCAGTCATCGTCTCTTCAGATATTGCCTAGATCAGGGGTCCCCAAGACCAGTACCATATTTAGTGATTTTCGAGAAGGATCCGTGGGACTCAGCATATAGTTGTATCTACAGCTCCGATCTATTACAGCGATGTAGTAAACATACACCCCTAGGTCATAAGGGGGGAAGACACTAGCAGAGTCTGGATGAATCCATGCACAGGATGCCTTATGCTCTCTCCCTCCCATCTAGGGTCACCCGGGGCACACTTGTCCCAGCGGAAAAAATGCAGCAACGTGTGCCCGGGGAGGCCCAGTAGAAGCTCAGCACCCTCAGTTGCCCTGCCTTGCACATACCGGAATTTCAGGCACACAGAAGGAAGGGAAATGTTCAGCATAAATCACATTGTTTGTACAAGCAGCCTTATCAGTTAGGGAATGGTGGAGACATTGCTGAACTCCCAGTTTCCCAGACTGCAGGGCCGAACCTTGCAAGCCAGCCTTTCTAAGCCTAGCAGCCTCAGGGCTGCTCTGTTTTCCCTTTTCCTGGCGTATTGCCCCTGTCCCTGTCTTTTAAAAAAATTTTTTTAATGTATATTCAATTTGAGAGAGCGCCTGTGGGGGTGGGGCAAAGAAAGAGGGAGACACAGGATCCAAAGCAGGCTCCAGGCTCCGAGCCGTCAGCCCAGAGCCTGACGCGGGGCTCCAACTCATGAAACATGAGATCATGACCTGAGCCAAAGTCGGATGCTTAACCGACTGAGCCACCCGGGTGCCCTGCTCCTGTCCCTTTCTACTGTTTCCATTTGGATTTTCTATTAAACCTGTGTTGGAACTCACCATTTTTCTATTTGTCTTACCATATTTCCATTTTGTTAGCTCTTCACGCTGCAATCAGGGTGATTTCCTAAGATGTCATCTGATTCATTAAGTTGGTTTTTATCTGTGACTAGTCTGTTCAACTTCTCTATTTAGAGCTTTAATAACGCCTATATATTCTTTTATATTTATATTTGTTCCTTTTCTCAAATGTTCCTTTCCCCTCCCGATAGTATAGCTCTTACCTTATTTCTTTGAATATTTGAAATATATTTATCTTAAAGTCTAGAGTGTTCTGTTAGCTACAGTTCTAGGAAATGGGATTATCTGTTGACACCGGGAGTATCAAGATGGTTCATTTCCTTGGGAGGTTTAAATTATTTTACTGTGAATTCTTCAGCGAGAATTGGCTTTCCACAGAAGTTGTGTGAGTCCTAAGCTATAAAAACATAAGATATATCTTTTGGGGTTTGCCACATCTAGGAACCTAGTAATAGCAGGACCAGTTTTTCATGTGGATTTGTCAGCTTGTGGACTCTGTACTCATCGTTTTGGATCGAGTCGCACAACTAGGCTTTGCTTTCTTATATATAACATCTTTCTTTCCAATTTCCTCGTCCAGTGGGGAGTTTTCCTGGCTCCTCTTTGACAAACATGGAAGGCCCTTGGCGATTCTAGCTGTAAGCGGGAATTACCTATACCACTTTCCTCAAGATTTTTGCCCTGTGGTCCGGATTACCACTGCAAATCCCGAAGCTTCCGTTTCTGGTCACCCCGTCACTTTAAATTTCCACTTCACATTTGACACCCAGTTTCTTGGTTTTGAGCCTGACTGTGGATTCAGTTATTTTTTGTTCAACACGGGCCAGCATAGTTCTTCATGTTCACAGTGAGAGGGGAGGCGGTGCTCGTGGGGCATGGACACAGCCCATCCACCTCAGCTCCAGATTTACCCCATTACAAGTCCAATGAGTTCCTTGCCTTTTTTTCCAGAATTCTGGCAAGTGCATGACCAGATGGACAACCACAAGGAAAGCCAAGACCAACGTCTGTGGCCGACTGCGTTCGTAGACCAGGAAACACAGAAGGACCAAAGTGGCCAGGAATTGACAACATTCAGGACAATCATTTATCCGGGCACAGACTTTGTTTCTATAAGACAAAGACTCCCTAGATATTATTCATGGGGAAGGTGTTCAAAACATAATTTAAACTTTCTCTGTCAAAGCAGAAGTTCTGTAAGAAAGAAAGGTGATGAGCGTAAGGCACATTGGAAGTCGTGCTTCCACCCTAATCTTTATCCAGCGCAGCCTGGAGAGAAATTCTTTGAGCCTAATCAACGTGGAAACACCCTCCACCATAAGCAAGCCCTCGATAAACCTCCAAGAAGTCAAACCAGGGAGAAACTCTTTGAGTGTTCTGCATGCGGGAAAGTGTTTATCCAGAAAGCCAACCTTGTCGTGCACCAGAGAACTCACACGGGAGAGAAGCCCTATGAGTGCAGCGAATGTACAAGAGCCTTCAGCCAGAAGTCAACTCTCATTGCACACCAGAGAACTCACACAGGGGAGAAGCCCTATGAGTGCAGCGAATGTGGGAAAACCTTTATCCAGAAGTCAACGCTGATGAAACATACGCGAACTCATACAGCAGAGAAACCATTTGTATGTGGTGAATGTGCAAAAGCCTTTAAGAGTTCCTATCACCTTACTAGACATGAAAAAACGCACATTAGGCAAGCATTTTATGAAGGAGTCCACTGTGGTAAATCCGGCCTTACGTACCCGAGGACTCATACGGGTGAGAAACCTAACTGTAATAAACATGGGAAACCCTCTGATGAGAAACCCAACCCCATTAAACACCAGAGATCTCCTATGAAAGAGAAAGCTTACGAGTGCAGTAAATGTGGAAAAAGCTTCAGGGGGAAGTCCCACCTCTCTGTCCATCAGAGAACTCACACAGGAGAGAAGCCTTACGGATGCGGCATATGTGGGAAGACTTTCAGTGGAAAATCACACCTCTCTGTCCATCAAAGAACTCATACAGGAGAGAAGCCTTATGAGTGCAGAAGATGCGGGAAAGCCTTTGGTGAAAAGTCAACCCTTGTTGTACATCACAGAACTCATACAGGAGAGAAACCCTACAAATGCGGTGAATGTGGGAAAGCCTTCAGCGAAAAGTCACCACTGATAAAACATGAGAGAATTCATACAGGAGAGAGACCCTACGAATGCAGCAACTGTGGGAAAGCATTCAGTAGGAAGTCAACTCTCATTAAACATCAGAGAATTCACACAGGAGAAAAACCCTACGAATGTAGTGAATGTGGGAAAGCTTTCAGTGTGAAATCAACTCTCATTGTACATCACAGAACTCACACGGGAGAAAAACCCTATGAATGCAGAGACTGTGGAAAAGCCTTCAGTGGGAAGTCAACTCTGATTAAACATCAGAGAAGTCACACAGGAGATAAAACCTATTAATATACTTGAGCATGGGAGAATTTCCCTATTATACCTCATTATAGATCAGTTCATCCTGGGGAGTAATCTTAGCAATGTCAAGAGTGTCAGAAACTCTTCAGATATTAATGTTCCTTTAATGTAATAAAAGGTTCAAAAATATAATTCCAGAAGCATGTAATAAATGCGACCAGTTTTTCACCCAGAAGGTCTTACGAGTGAATTGTATATCAGGGAATTCAATGGTGGCAGAATTATGAGTGTATTGACGTGAGACAACCTTGAGAAAGAATGTAAATGTTATCGCCTAACAGAGTCTTTATGCTGAGGAAAAACTAAGAGTCGAATGAGTTTAGAAAACTACGTCAGGGGGCGCCTGGGTGGCGCAGTCAGTTGGGCGTCCGACTTCAGCCAGGTCACGATCTCGCGGTCCGTGAGTTCGAGCCCCGCATCAGGCTCTGGGCTGATGGCTCAGAGCCTGGAGCCTGTTTCCGATTCTGTGTCTCCCTCTCTCTCTGCCCCTCCCCCGTTCATGCTCTGTCTCTCTCTGTCCCAAAAATAAATAAACGTTGAAAAAAAAATTAAAAAAAAAAAAAGAAAACTATGTCAGCAATTATGAGAGAAATGTGTTCCATATTCTGTAACATTCTGTGGGAAAGGTGCAAAGGCTGCTAACAAGGAGTCAAATAGAAAAAAGTGAGGTTCACCATGGAATAGAACACGCTTTTGAAAGAACAGTATAGAGGATAAACTGTTAATCCCAGCTGGGGCAAACTCCCCGTTATTATTATTATTTTTTTATTTTTAATGTTGATTTTTTGAGAGACAGCACGAGTGAGTGGGGGAGGGGTAGAGGGAAGGAGACACAGAATCGGAAGCCGGCTCCAGGCTCCGAGCTGTCAGCACAGAGCCCGCTGTGGGGCTCGAACCCACGAACCGCGAGATCATGACCTGGGCTGAAGTTGGACGCTTAACTGACTGAGCCACCCAGGCGCCCCAGCCTGTAATTATTTTTAATGTTTATTTATTTTTGAAAGAGAGGGCGCATGCATACGGGCAAGTGGGGGAGGGACAGAGGGGGAAACAGAATCCCAAGCAGGCTCCACACTGTCAGCGCAGAGCCCAACACGGGGCTTGGTCTCAGGGGTGAGATCATGACCTGAGCTGAAATCAAGAGTTGGACGCTTAAGTGACTGAACTACCCAGGCACCCCACCCCCTATTATTTCTTAAACAACTAGAAAAATTGCTCCCTTAAGTAGAATGGGAGATGAGTCATCAGGGTCCCTGTCACAAAGGGGCTCAAAGAGATCTTACACATGTTACCCATCATCTTCAGTGCAAAAATGCAAATCCCTTATAGAAAAGGCACACCTTGCTTGGAAACAGTGCTTACAATTTAACATTCTTTGCCTTGTAAGAAAGAGTAGTCACTTTATGGTGAAGCAATAAAAGATTTTTAATTGTCAGAGCATCTCCTGTGACAGCGATATTATTTAAATTGCGAAACAAATCAGAAATTGAATATCCCATAATAGGTGATTAAAATTCGATATATCGTTAAGGTGGGGTAATGTGGACAATTAAGAATTATCTTTGCTTGGGGCGCCTGGCTGGCTCAGTCATTAAACATCCGACTTCCGCTGAGGTCGTGATCTCGCGGTTCGTGGGTCCGAGCCCCACGTCGGGCTCTGGGCTGACAGCTCAGAGCCTGGAGCCTGCTTCAGATTCTGTGTCCCCCTCTCGCTCTGCCCCTCCCCACTCTTCTCTTTCTCTCTCTCTCAAAAATAAATGAACATTAAAAAAAAATTTTTTTAAGTGATCTTATGTTTGAGGATTTGGGGAAATGTTCATGGTAATCTATTGTGAAAAAAAGATTATAAAACCATACCATATGATTTACATTGCAAACAAGTAACATATTGTACAAATAGTATTGTATCAGTGACTCTGGGTGGTAGAACTATAGCAATTTTATGCTAAGTAAGATTATATGCACATATGTACATATATATTTGTATTATATTTATTGCTGTTTAGTTGTAAGTAGGTAGGTAGACATGTAGAACAAAAATCTAGGAACGAAATATACCAGATTATTAAGCAAATTGTCATTTGGGTGTTGAGATCATCGATTTTTTAAATGTTTTGAATATAGTTTCCAGAAACCACCAATAAAATAAGTTGATTAAAATAATTCTGTGCATACTTGCTTCTGTCTTCACATCCGTTTTCCCATTCAGCTTCGTCTTTGGTTTTGAGAATATGTTTTGTGTGTTGAGAATGGGTATCCCTTGTTTTTAATATCTGTGTGTGATTTTTTATTTTCTATTTTTTAAATGTATATTTATTTTTGAGAGAGAGCACTAGTGGGTGAGGGGCAGAGAGAGAGGGAGCCCTAGAATCCGAAGCAGGCTCCAGGCTCTGAGCGGTCAGCACAGAGCCCGACGTGGGGCTCGAACTCAAAAACCGTGAGATCATGACCTGAGCTGAAGTCGGACGCTTAACCGATTGAGCCACCCAGGCGCCCTTGTATGTAATTTTTTTAAATAAAAATAAAAGTACCATCATAGTTCACCAAATCCTGTGACGTAAGTTACCAGCTAACAGATTTGCAGATGTGAAGAGATGTCGCGAATGGTCAAAAGTACCACAAGTAAGGAGACGAAACTGACTTCCGACACCAAATATAAAGCTCTTTTCACTGTGCTATCCGTGAATGCTGCTCGAATGCTCGTCTTCCCTCAACTGGTCCTTTTATCAGCAGTTGTATCAGACACGTGCCAGGTGACCCCAGTGAATTGTGCCCTATGTAACCTTCCCCCCGAGTGTGGGCAGAACTGAGACTTGCTTCTAAACACTAGATTATGGCAAAAGTGATGTGATGTCGCTCCTGCGAGCATGCCCTATAAGACTGCCATCTTCGTAGATTGGACAGAGCCTTTCCTTGCTGGTCTGATGAAGTAAGCAGCCATGTTGAAAACGCTCATGTGCCAAAAAACTGCAGCTGGCTTCTAGGACTTGAGGGCACCCTGAGCTAAGACAGTAGGACTTGGGTGGCAAAATCTTGGAGGCAAGTGACGAGAGATAAACTGAGCTTTTCCCCACAAGGGGGTCACTGGTAAATGGCACGAGACAAATTCCGAGATGGGGAACAGCCAAGTGCCTGAGGTACCAAGGAGAGCTTTCAGCAGAATTCTGTGCCAAGGTGACCACACTTGGAGTTCGGACCCCAGCAGTGATGAAGGGCCCTGGAAAATACCACAAGACTCTCAGCTGGAATCTCTGAAGGACTTTAGGAATCAGGAGGAAGTGGCTATAGACCGGACCTTTAAAAGATTGATACCCCAACTTGAGTTAGCTCACCACCTAACTGAATTAAGGTCATTTATATAATTAGCCTGTCAGGAACTAAAGCTCATCTAGAGTTTCTACAATTTCTCATGCATCGTGGTATTCAGTCAGAAATTGCTGGGGCGCCTGGGTGGCTCAGTCGGTTAAGCTTCCAACCCTGGGTTTCGGCTCCCGTCATGATCTCACGTTCGTGGGTTCGAGTCCCGTGTTGGGCTCCGCACGGAGCCTGCTTGGGATTCTCTCTCTCCCTCTCTCTCTGCCCCTCCCCCGCTCACTCTGTCTCTCAAAATAAATACATGATCTTAAAAATTGCTGGGCGCACCCTGAGTCAAGTTAAGAAAAAAAGTGAACAGTAGAAGCAGACCCACAGGCAATTCAGACATAGGAGATACAAGTCATGGTCTTTAAGTGCATAATATGAACAAGAAAACATAAAATGAGGAAATTCGTCAGAAAATGCAAATTGTTTTCAGTAGTCATTTGCTTTTTTGCCTGGTACTTTATTTTCCTGGAGTTTCCAATTGCCTTCTGTTTTTCCAGGGTCACGAACCTACCATTTAATGTATGGATTTTTTTTCCCCCTCTGGTATTAGAATTCATCTTAAAAGCACCTTAGGTGCCTTGGAAGTACTTTGAGGGGGGTGGCTCAGGGCAGAGGGAGGAGTGCCAGTAGCCGGCTAGAAACTTCTCCAAAGAATAGTTATCTGCAGAAGGTGGTATTGCTCTGCTCCCAAATCCTCATGGACGGTACTGTGACTCGTATGCAGGGCCCTTCCAGATGCTCCATCCATCATTTCTTATCTGCCACAGCCATTTCTTACCTTGTCGAGCTCAGTACGACAAGCTAGGTCATCTAGCCCAAGGGACCGTGCCCATGGTAGACCAGACCCATTTCCAAGTATACCCTTGCTCCACACTAGCACTCGGCAGTTTTGTGTCATTCAGTAAATGGTCTGGAGCAGTGTGATGAAATGGCGTTTCTGGTCCCTACCAGGGCCCAGCGGTGGTTTCTCCAAAGTGGTATTCTCAACTGCGGATCCCATGGCCTCGCACCAAACTCACAGGGACCTGATTCTCCCCGGGGCAGCCTTTCCCACCACTGACGCTCATGACAACCGTAGTGTCAGCCACCTCATATGGTCCAAGCGACAAGGCTGCTTGCACTACAGCCTGCGCTTTCCTGCCCTGAGCCCCGCTCAAGGCTGGCAGCTTTCTGTCACCTGGTGCACGGGCCGGGGAAGCATCTCTAGGTGTGGACTACGTGACCTCCTTTTGTGAAGTGGAATTTTGTGTGGTTGAGCTTGCGGCAGTTTAACCTCATCATCCCCCTGTTCCAGCTGGTTTCTGCAAGGGCCAGGATGACGGGTTAAACAGAACTACGATGAGGACCAATAGTGGCACTGATCTCCATCATCTCCTAGGGTGCAGTATTGTTTTCAGTTTACCGTCTCGGGTGGTGGGGGAGGAAGGAAGTCAGAGTTTTCCGTTCTGTTTCCCTGCTGTGCAGGATCTTACCGCACAGGCCAGGGACCCAACAGGGACATTCATCCAATGACCAAGATGCAGTGGGCCACTGTGAGTCAGACTTAGCCGGGACTCAGCCCCCCCTCTAATGGGAGGGCCATGATGATGCTTCGAGTGTCCGGGTATTAAAGTGAACTCAAAAAGCCATGTCTAACAGTCCTAAAAACATCTGGTCAGTGCGCGGTCACCCCAATAAATGGCCATAGGTTCAGGGATGGGGGCAGGGGCTAGGATAAGCATTATAATCTACCCCTGCTACAATGCTGTAGGATCCTTCCTTTGAGGGACATGGGCACCTCTCCAGACCATTGGTTCCAGATCTGAAATT